AATCCATATATATATATATATATACACAAATAGGGAGGAAAAGGTCATAAAAAAAAAAGAAAGAAGAAAAAAAAACAGGAAAAAAGCAATAAAATAAATAAAAAGAAGAATAAAATAATAAATGTAGATAAAAGTATATAAAAAAAGGGAATAAAAAGTATAAAAAAAGAGACTAACCGCCCAGGCACCAAATCCATACTTATATGCCCCTATAAGAAGGGCCTCATCCTCTCTATTTGTCCATCGTTGGACATCACGAGCACTCCATGGCTTAAGACGGCATAGTACACCCTCAGGGAGCCGTAGCTGTATACATATATATATATAAATATTTATTTATTTATTTATTTATTTATTTATTTATTTATTTATTTGTATTTAGATCCTTATTCCGCATCTAGAGGTCTATTTAGAGGTATATATTTATTTATTTTATTTATTTTATTTATTTATTTATTTATTTATTTATTTATATACACGTATGCAGATAAATATAAATATATAAATATATAAATATATGTATATACGTATAAATGTACATTTATTTATTGTTAATTAATTATTTATTATTTATTAATTATTTATTAACACCCTAAGGTATATACATATCTATATATATGTATATATGTGTATTTATTATTATATATTAGTTAATTATTAATTATTATTAGCTAATAAATAAATAAATAAATAAATAAATAAATAAATAAATAAATAAATAAAATAACTAACCGTTAAAAACATTGGAGGTGCTCCTGGTTCTGTTGGAGGAGGGAAGCCTGTTGCTGCAGTGCTGCTGCTGCTGCTGCTGCCAGGTATCTGCTGCTGATCCTGTCCTTCTCCCTCTTGCTGTTGCTGCTGTTGTTGCTCTCCTTCAGCAGATTGCTGCTGCAGTGCAGCAGCAGCAGCAGCAGGATCAACAGTCTCAGCGGGACCATCACAAGACATAGCAGAAGGAGCAGCAGCAGCAGCAGCATCACCTGCTGCTGCTGCTGCTGCATCACCAGTAGTTTGTTCTAATCCTGTTGCTGCTGCAGCACCAGTCATATCACCTCCTTCTCCTGCTATTTCTTGCTGTTGCCCCTCTTGCTGCTGCTGCACTTGCTGCTGCTGCATGCCAGTGAATTCAGGAGAGAGAGGACCTGTAGGTAGCTGCCATGGTGCAGCACAATGAGGGTGCTGCTGCTCAAATACATCATGCAGCAACTGCAGCAGCTGCAGCCTCTCTATTAGATCCCATGCATTTACTCTTGTGTCTCCTATCTGTGTAAAGTACGAACGACCTGCAGCAGCAGCAGCAGCAGCATCAGCAGCAAGAGCAGTAGTTATAGCAGCAGCAGCAGCAGCAGCAGCAGCAACAGCAGCAAGAGCAGTAGTTATAGCAGCAGCAGCAGCAGCAAGAGAGAGGTTGACGAGAGAAGTGTAGAAATGTTAACAACTAACCATAACTCATCATACACCACAACTAGCTACGTAACTAGCTAGCTAGCTAGCTAATTATTTATACAAATAAAATAAATAAATAAATAAATAAATAAAATAAATAAATAAAATAAATAAATAAATAAATACCTTCCTTAGGGTCTTCTTCTTCTTTAGGTCTTGTTAATTGATCAATTTCTTCTTCTTCCTCATCATCATCTTTATTACTTTTATGTTTCTTAATACCTGTTGCTGCTGCACCTGCTGCACCTGCTGCAGTTGCTGCTGTTGCTGCAGTATTAGGTGCAGCAGCAGGTTTAGCAGGAGGTTGATTAAGTCTTTCTTTGCATGCAGCAACAATTTGTTGTGCAGCAGCAGCAACAACAGCAGCAGATACCCTCTGCAGCTTAGCATCATGAATAATATCATGAATTCTTCTTCTTATACATCCATACCTTAATAATGCCCTATATAAACGATGATATTCCTTGGATGTTAATTGTGTAGGATTAAGTATTCTTGGTCTTCTTCCTCTTCTTCCTTTCCCTCCTCCTGCTGCTGCTCCTCCTCCTGCTGCTGCTGATCCTGCTGCAGCAGCAGAAGAAGATGTATTTATATCTATATTATTATCATTATCTTCTCCTATAGCACTATTTGTATAACCATAATTGCTGCTATTACTGCTACTACCTGCAGCAGCAGCAGCAGCAGCAGCAGCAGCAGCAGCAGTATCTGAACTATCCTCTCCTCTGCTGCTGCTACTTATACCCCATGCAAATAATGCATTTCTTGTCTTTCTTTTACCATGAATAATTAATTGATCTTCTTTTTGTCTTTTATACCTTAATCTTTCATGACTAGGTATACATTGTCGCCAAAATTCTGCATCATCTTCTTCTTCTTCTGCTGCTGCTGCTGCTGCTGTTGCTGCTGTTCCTGATGCTCCTGATGCTCCTGCTGTTGCTGTTGCTGTTGCTGTTGCTGTTGCTGTTGCTGTTGCTGTTGCTGTTGCACCTCCTCCTGATGATGATGATCCTCCTCCTCCTGTTGTTGCTCCTCCTCCTCCTCCTCCTCCTCCTACTACTCCTAATGATCCATCTATACCTCCTACTCCTGCTAATATACCTCCTATACCTCCAGCAATATTATTAGTTGTATTCATAGTATTACCATCAGGATCTGTAATATCTGCTGCTGCTGCAGCAAACTCATTATATCCTTCTCCTGTTGTTGTACCATCACCACTACCTGTACCATCACCACCACCATCACCACTGCTGCTACTACTGCTGCTGCTGCTGCTGCTGCTGCTGCTGCTGTCTAGCTCACACCCTTTAGGCCTACTCTGGCTCCATAACTTTGTTGCACCAAATTTTAATATTTTGCTCAAATCTTCACGAGAAAAAGAAACACCACCAACCCCACCACCAGATAAACTACCACCATTTCCCCATTCTACTCCTCTCTTATTTAATCCCTATATACATACATATATATACATATACATATATATAAATATATATATTATTTATTTATTTATTTATGCAGAAAGAAAGAAAGAAAGAAAAAAGAATTATTTAAATGTGTGTCTTATTCATACAAAAAAAACAGCAAAAAAAAAACAGCAAAAAGAACAGCAAAAAGAACAGCAAAAAGAACAGCAGCAGCAAAAGGAGAATAAATAACTTACTTGTACAACAAGAGTATCTAATACCATTTTAGCTTTTGCTCTTTCTAGTATAGTTTGTTCAATAGAATCTTTTGTTACAAGACGATAGATTTGTACAGTTTTCTTTTGTCCTATTCTATGGGCTCTTGCCTCTGCTTGTAAGTCATTTTGTGGGTTCCAATCTGTATAAAATACATATTTATATTTATTTATTTATATTTATTTATATATATTTATTTATTTTATCTTTAATTAGAGAAAAAACAACAAAAATACATCAAGAAATCATAAACAACAAATATGAATATATATATGTATACATATACACAACAACAAACAACAACAAGATATAAATACATTTAAGAATAAATAGAGAGAAATAAAAAGAAGAAATAAAGTATAAACAACAAGATAATAAACAATAACTAGAACAAAAACAATAAAGGAAAAAAGGAAAAAGATGAATAATTCAACAACAACAACAACAACAACAACAACAACAACAACATGATTGGGGTGTATAGGGAGCTGCAAATTTGCTGTAAGGAATAATTAGATGAATATATATAAATATAATTTATAAAATAATAAGAATAAATAAATAAATGAGTATAAAGTATACCTGAATCGAATATAATGACGGTATCTGCAGAGGTAAGATTAATACCTAATCCTCCTGCCTTAGTAGATAATAAGAAGCAGAAATCATTACTTGTTCGTGAATTGAATTGTTCCATGGCTTTTCTTCTTACTTCTTTAGGCATAGTACCATCTAATCTCTATAAAAGCAAACAAAACAAACAAATAAATAAATAAGATGAATATATATATACGTACATTTCCTCCTTTCCTCTTCTTCTCTTCTTCTTCTCTTCTCCTTTTCTTCTCCTTTTCTCCTGCCTGCTTACCTGATGTTTATATCCCCTTAATTTAAGGAATTCAGCTAATAGATTGAGCATCTTAACCATTTGTGAGAAGATAAGTACCCTATGCCCTTTTTCCTTTAATCTTTTGAGTAATTTATCAAGAAGAATTAACTTAGCAGATCCATCAATCAATAACTTGGACCATTGTTGTGTATTAGTAGGAGATTGACAAAGAAAAGGATGATTACATACTTTTTTTAATTGCATACATATATTTTGTAGATTATGTTTATTACTATTACCTTTTTTAATTAAATAATCAAAGTTTTTTGTTAATATTAATCTATAAAAATATAATTGTAATGGTGACATCTCTACCCTTAATATACTTTCTATCTTATTAGGCATACTTTTTTCTACGTCTTTTTTTACTCTTCTTAGTATATAATTATTTAATTCTTCTTGTAGATTATATAATTGTATTCTTTTTTGTTCCCCTAATTCATTATTCTTTTCTATTAAATAATATTTCTTATAAAATTCATTATAATTAATAAATATATTAGGATTTAATAGATGTAATAGTGTCCATAGTTCATAAAGATTATTATGTAGGGGAGTACCAGATAAGAATAACTTATGTTTAGTAGTAAATAAGGATAAAAAATAATTCCTTTTGCTATTTATATTCTTTAGCTGATGTGCCTCATCAACAACAAGAAGAGACCAAGTAACTTTTCTTAGATAATCTACATCAATAGTACTATTAAGTATACTAGGTGTACATATACATACATCATATAAATATACATGGTATTTACTATGTAGTCTTATTAACTCATAGGTTCTTATTACGTTCCTTCCTATAGCGTTGCCGTGTATATACACCACATTTATATTAGGTAACCATTTATTTAATTCTTTTATCCAATTATCTAATGTAGATTGAGGTACTATTATTAATATAGGATATAATACTTTATCTATATATAATAAATGACCTATTACTCCTATTGTTTGTATTGTCTTACCTAGACCCATCT